CTCTGGGCCCGGGCATCATCATCATCATCATCATCATCATCAGTGTAACTCCATCTCTCTAAGCATTACTTGGTTCTTCTCCGGTTTTCTGTAACAGCCCTGCTCAGTTACTCGTTTATATGTTATACTCCTACTTGGGTACACAAAACACTCTTGAGAAGTTAAACATCCTTGATTCAACAGTCAAGCCAGTTACCTGTAACACTGTTCTAAAAATGTTATAACCAAAGACTATTCATAGCAGGATACCTATTTCACAGTGTTACTCTTACATTTATTTTTTCACTCATTTATTTAACATCTAATTCCTGAGTTCTGACCATGTGTCAGGCCCTGCTAGGCCCTGGGGACCAAGTGGCGCGCACACACACACACTCCTGCTTCTGTGGAGCATCCATTCTGTTAGGGATGAGATAGTCGACATGTAAACTGCCAACACAAGATGGGGACTAGGTTACATCAGAAATAGACCCAATTTGATTGGGAGAAAGTGTGGGTGGGATAAAGGCTACTAAATTGTGAGGTCAGGGAATGAGAGATAAGGTATGTCGACAGTAACATACTCAGAGTAGTGAGTGATGGGGAGATAAGCTCAGAGAGGCCAAAAAAGTCCAAACTGTACGCAGCTTTAGGCCATGATGGAGAGTTTAGAATTTATCTTAAGAACAATGGGAAGCTCTTGGAGGGTTTTGTTTTGTTTTTATTTTATTTTATTGATTTAATAGAGGAAGGGAGAGGGAGAGAGAGAGAGATAGAAAAATCAATGATGAGAGAGAATCATTGACTGCTATCTCCTGCACGCCCCGCACTGGGGATCGAGCCCGCAACCCAGGCATGTGCTCTTGACTGGAATCAAACCCAGGACCCTTTAGTCCATAGGCCGATACACTATCCACTGAGCCAAAGCAGCCAGGGCATTCTTGGAGGCTTTTAAACAGGACAGTGTCATGATTTTTTTTTTTTTTTCCAAAACGTAACTCTGGAGGCTGAATTTTAGCAGTTAAAGGGGATAAGAGAAGAGCAATTAGGACACTATTTTAGTGATCTTGGCAAGAAAAAGATGGTGGCTATGACCAATGAAGAGAAGTAGATGAACACAGGATATGTTTGGGAATAGCTGATAAGACATTCTGCTACGTTAGTGAGGGGGGAGGAATAGTGAAGGCAAGGTGAAATTCAAGGCTGTCTTGATGCCATTTACTGAATGGGGGAAAGACTGTAGGAGAAGTAGTGGGGAGTCGAGGGCAGTAGAAGAAAGCAAGAGTCCAATTTGGGGCCACATGAGCCTTGAAATGTCTATTAAAAATCCAAGTAACTATGTCAAGGAGGCAAATGAATATTAAAATGTGGAGCTCCTTAGATAGGTCAGGGCTGGATTTACAAATTTAATAGTCATCAAATTATTGCTAAAATTTAAAGCTAGAAGACTGGATCTGGGTAAAGAGTATAGTTGGAGAAAAGGCCCTAATACCAGCCCTGGGGCCCCCACCAGTGAGAGTTTGAAAAGAGAGAGCCAGCAAGGGACACTGAGGCAGCACAGTCAGAGTTTGTGGCATCCTGGAAACCACAGTCACAGAATGTTCAAGGAGTGAGTGCTCAACTCTACCAAATGCTGTGAAGTCATCAAGCCTGATGAGAACAAAAACATGAGCATTAGATATGCTAAAAACAAACAAACAAACAAACAAACAAACAAACAAACAAACAAAAAAACAGGGAAGACATTGGTCCTTCTAAGTAGAGAGATTTTAGTGAGACCTGGGGTTGGAAATCTATTAGGAGTCAATTGAGGCAAGAACAGGATGTGAAAATATTGAGATACCAGATGCATGAAAATTCACCTTGGCCTGTGCCCTCTCGCAGTCTGGGACACCTCAAGGGATGTCCACTTGCAGGCTTAGAACTGCTCCCTGTGGGGAGAGGGCGTAAGCTGCAGTAGGACATCCTCAGCCTTGCCGAAGAGGCAGGAGGGCTCCCACCACTGCTGCTGTGCTCGCAGCCATCAGCCTGGCTTGTGGCTGAGCGGAGCTCCCCCTGTGGGTGCGCACTGACCACCAGGGGGCAGCTCCTGTGTTGGTCAATGTGCATCATAGCGACCAGTAGTTCCTGGTCATTCTGCCATTAGGGTCAATTTGCATATTGCTCTTTTATTATATAGGATTGCTTCTGGCTGTTGTGAAGGGTAGAGGCAAATGAATCTGGAGGGGAATAAGGAGTCAAGGGAAACACTAAAGTAGAAATAAATGTAACGAGACTGATCTAATGAAAAAGAAGAAATCTATGATGTAGACAAGAAACATGTTTAACTGCAGGAGAAGTCTTAGAACAAGTAAGAGGGGATGACATCCGGGGCACAAGTAGAGACATCACCCTAGGACAAGAACAGGAACTGTCCACCAACTGCAATGGGCAAAGGGGAATCACAGCATGTGAATTTACATGTAAGAAGGTGGGTACATTTTGAGGTTGATGATGAGTGGTTATTTTGGTACTAGACAAAGAGCATATACATATTATGTGACATCAAAGCTAGTGTACATCAGTTATATAAAGTAATAATGGTAACCTTTATTAGTCTCTTAGAGAAAGTTAAGGCAGTACAGAGAGGGATTTGAGGGTACATCTTAGATATTGCTTTTGCCTGGTTGAAATTTTGATTCATCAATTTCCTCCCATAACTTCCTTGTACACTGGTGATCTGTAACACACCAGTTTGATCATTTTTAAATGCTTCTAGACAAGGAGCCAAACTCAAAGTCAGTCTTCCTTGGCAGGTTCCATCCCACCACCTTGGTCTTCTCTAATTTCCCCTAGAGCTCTGGGCTGCACCTCCCAGTACAATCAGCACTCATTCATTTTGTATTTGTTTTCTGCTCATAGATCTTATTTTCTCAAAAAGAGACAAGGATAAGGCCAAACATTTACAGTAAAATATCATTGTCTCTTCCACTGTGAAAAATCTAGTATTACATATAAAGTAGGCACTTAACAATTGCTTGTTGACCAATTTATCTTTTCAGAGTTGAATGGCTAATAAAAAGTCTTAAGCAGCAATTCCTTGGCTAACAGAATGTACAGAATTCCTCCTGGCACCTTGCTGGGGGACACTAAAATCATCCATCAATTTTTTTTTTCTTTAAAATGCTATTCGATGAGTTTGTCTGGAGCAAAGTCTGGAATGTATATCAACCAAAAGCATACTACTGAGCTAAGTACAAGCTATTTTCCTTCTAAACTTTGTATCCACTTTCTTAGGGGAAAAGCGTTGGTTTAAAAAGATTTTCAAGTTTGGGAAGCTTTAAGTAAAATGTGATATGAAGGACTGAAACTTATCCAGTGCTACTCATTTGCTGTAGCATAGTATGAATTTAAAATTGATCTGGTAATCTCCTTAGTGAAAAAATATATTATTAAGAGAATACAGGTCAATATAGCCTATTTTGCATTGTCTTAGATCAAAGTTCTCTTTAGTACAGACTGAGAGCTTAGCAGATTTTAAGTATATGGATTCCAGCTTGTTAAATTATTAAAGAAAAAGTATAATTCCAAAATATAGCCCAAATTCTTAAGCCACTTACAGCTGTTTGGATGTTCTTATATTGAAATCAGAATGCAAGTGTCACTCATATATTTTTTTTTAAGAAGCACGTAAAAGAATCAGACAATATTAACCTTTAATTTTACCTGTCAGGCTACCATGGGAAGTTAATAAATTAACAATCAGAAGAGCATTTAACAAAAGGTCTCAGATACTACATATGGCAGTCAGTGTAGCTCTGAGGAAGAAGTGATTACAGCTACTATAAAATTTTGTCACTCTATAAAATAAAGTTTCTACTGACAGAATGAGCTATTCCCTTTTTTTGTCATGTTCAAATTGACAAAATAACATCTAATAAAAGAAAATAAGTCAAGAAACTTAGAATTTTAGATTATATGAAAATCTGTAAAAATGTCATTAGGAATACTTTTTCATCTGGATCTCATAGTATTAGACAATACTAATATAATTTTTAAAGTATTTCTTTTTTTCTTTTCTTTTTTTTTAAGAGAAGAAGGGAGAGGGAGAGAGAGTTAGAAACATCGATGAGAGAGAAACATCAACCAGCTGCCTCTTGCACACCCCCTACCGGGGATGTGCCTGCAACCAATGTACATGCCCTTGACGAGAATCGAACCTGAGACCTTTCAGTCCACAGACCGACGCTCTACCACTGAGCCAAACTGGTTTTGGCTAAAGTATTTCTTCATAAAATATTTTAATTGGATCATTTAATGAATTCTACAAGATGCATATGCATTTATAAGATTTGATTTTTCATTCCTTACAACTAAAGATCTGATAACAGAATCACCACGTCTACTAGTATAGGTAAGAAACATAAACCTTTTTAGCTATTATTCTAGGTTTCTATTTATTTCTCACTAACCTACAAGGATTTTTAATTTTTTATTGTTTTTTTATTCAACATAGATTAGCTTCTAACTACTGGTAAAATGACAAAGTTTACATTGCTGATTTAAAAACTAAATTCAGACAATTTAGAATTATTTAAAAATTAGCCAATAAACTATAATTCATTAATTCTTTTTTTTGTGGATTCTGGGTTGGGGTGGAAATACACTGGTAATGATTATTTTTTAATCACTAGTAAAAAAAGATATCTAAATCTTTCCCTTAAAGCTTTTTCACCCACATGGAGGCAACACCCCTTAAAATGGAGTTTAATAATCAGTTAATGGCACAGATTTCACTAAAATATTACAAATGTGACAGTATAATAGCTTGGTAAATAGAATTTTGAGAGCCATAAAATTAAAGACTTTCACATGTGTAAGATCAATAGACATGACTTATCACTATTTAATATGAGCTTTAATTTTTAAATGTCAAGTTCCAATGAAAAGGTGTACTGTACAGGAAAACTGAAATTTCAATAAGGAATCAAGAGAAAAGAAACAAACTTTATATTAAAGTGCCTTTAAGAGGTTATACTTACGCAGCAACCTCCTCTTTTGACAATCCTTTGAACTTCGACTCCAGATAACGATCTATGTCATCTTTTTCTTTGATCAACTGAGGCCTAAATGAAATGGAAATAAATAATAAAGCACTGCCTTATCAAGTAGGAAAGCTACCAAACATAAAATGCCACCAGGAGAACACAAATATTCAGGGCATAATACCATATATGTATAATAAACATTCTGTAGTAGCTACAGAGTAAGATTACTGATGGATAATTTCTAAATTTTCATTTTCTTGAATGAAAAAGGAAGGGAAGAATATTAAACCCAGTGTGTAAACAAATAAAAACCAAACACATTAAAATAATCTGCATTTCTAATTAATGGAATTTTTTTTACTCAAAACTTATGAGATCTTCCATTTTACTCACGCTGTTTCACAGTATAACTTTCCACCTACAGAAGTCATATTCTATTTGGTACAGAATCCAGAATCCCAACTATCTATTGGATTCAAATGTGTAACATTTATTTGTTCCAAACAGTAATAAATTTGCTCTGAAATGCTGATTGAGTGTTTTTTTTAAATCATAGATAAAACTCAAATAATTATTAAAAGTTCAAAGTGATTTTAAGAATACTTTACTGAGAAATATATTACATGTGTATTGTGTTTATTCTTTACACTCTCTTGAACCTTTAAATATAAGCATATTATTAATATTTTATAAGCATGGGAGTATGGAACTGAGCAATTTGTTTTTATTCAGAAGTAATGGAGAATGTTGATACAAAAATTTGCTTTAAATAGTTATGATAAAAATGTTTTTATTCAATACAGATACAAGAAAAAGTTTTCTTTAAAAATACATCTTATTTTAGATATGTGAGATTGGCTATGTTTTTACTCATAAAGGAAATGTAATCTCAATAATTAAAAACAATAAGAATAATAATATTTTTCAGGTTGTGTTAATATTTCACATTGCTCAAGAGTAAAATATACACTGAGTGGCCAGATTATTATGATCTCCGAATACATAATAATCTGGCCACTCAGTGTATATCCCGTATAATAAAAGGCTAATATGCAAATTGTCCCCTCAACCAGGAGTACGACCAGCAGGCAGGCCAGCCAACCATCCATGTCCCCCCACCCCTGGTCAGGCTGGCTGGACCCCACCCATGCACAAATTAATGCACCGGGCCTCTAATGTATATACACACACACATACATACACACCCACACTGAGTGGCCAGATTATTATGTATTCAGAGATCATGATAATCCGGCCACTCACTGTATATACTAGTATATACATATATACATTTGCACCTGTAATATATCAGTTATACCACAATAAGAATATTTATCTTGGAATTATGTATTTATAAAAAAATATTTTTTTAAATTTTAAAAAAGAAAATTTGATTTGCTATTATAAAAATATTTTTTATGTAACCTAGCTAAATGTACTTATTTGGTCCAGGGAATTTGGTCTTTCCCAGAAATACTAAAAATGAGGTATGATGTTTTTCAGAACAAAGTAGTCTCATAATACTTTCTTTGATCATTATGCTTGGCAGGAATTGAAAAGAAAATAATCAGACCAAGATATGCAAATTATTTGTATTGATAAAGAATATGTGCATTATTAAACATCAATACAATTATAAATGCAATTACCAAACAATGCTATCTTAATTAAATATTCACAATTATGACAAAATACATCAAGTTCTCTGTCCTGCAGTTTCTGGGCTACAACTCTGGGGGCTCTACAGCTCCTCACAGGCAGCAGCAGTTAGATGGTGTGTCTGCAGGACCCACAGTCATTTCAGGAGCTAAATTGTGCCTGCCAATCTACCCTAGTAGTAAGACTGTGTCTTCCTTCCTCCAAAGCAGAAATCAGCAATCAGGACCTTGTGGATTGGAAACAAGACTCTATTCATTCCTAAAGCTTCTGCATTTTGTTCTCCACACACTTAAAAAAAAAAAAAAAAAAAAAAAAAGTATTTTCAAAGCTTTATAGGAACCAGGATATAATAGGAATCAATACATATAAAAGCCTAAGGTACCATTTAACTGGTAGCTATGACACACACTGACCACCAGGGAAACACACAGTCAGGGAAACATGGAACAGACTGATGAATCTCAGAGGTAAGGAGAGGGGGGAGAGCAGAAAAAGATTAACCAAAGATCTGATATGCATACTAGAGGCCTGGTGCACGGATTCATGCACCAGTGGGGTCCCTTGGCCTGGCTTGTGGGGATCAGGCTGAAACTGGCTTTCCAACATCCCCTGAGGGATCTTGGATTGCAAGAGGGAGCAGGCCAGGCTGAGGGACCCCACCGGTGCACAAATCTGTACACCGGCCCTTTCGTATGAAATAAAATTATCAAATGAGCACTAGCTTGTTAAAATAATATATTATGAATATTTAAGTGAAGTCCATCAATTCTTTTAACACCACACATTTTAATATTCTAAATATAACAATATACTATTGCCTTTAAACACCTTGTTTTCTGAGACATGTTATTGGCATTGTTACAGGAAGGAGTTTATTCTGCAGGAAAATAAATGAAAACCAGGGTCACGTACCGTGGCGTTGTTCTGGAGGAGCATGGCAGCTTCTCTCTGGCCAAGGCTGTAAGCTTGGGGCGTGACAGTGGGGGTAGGGCCGTCATTCCAGACTACAAATAAATACACACACACATGTACACACACATAGAAATTGTATTTTAAAGAATAAATCTTTCAAAGAATATTTTAAGACATTGTTAGATCCATAGCCTGTCTCTGAGCTGAGAATGCCTGGGTGTGCACAGAGCTTTAGCTCTGTTATTCATTATAGGGGTAGATACTCAGTGAGTGAATTCCACAGGTTACTTCTCTCATTATTTTCCTCTACTGGCTGCCTTGTGGCCAATTTATTACTTGTCTGCCTCTCTACCATGAAGGAGAAAATCTGATTAATGAGTTGAAAATTCAGTCAATCAGGAATGTTGGTATAAGAGAAATGATTGCAATTAAAAAATAAAGATTTTTAGGGCAGCTACGAATTTCAAATGTTCGTGCTTTGCTTGCCTGTTATGATCAATAATTGAAAATTGCTCATATTTTTCTACTTTCTAAAAAACTTTATCATTCACAAATAAAGGCTTTCCCGTGGAAAGGACAGGTGCCAAGAAAAATTCTCAACATGGAGACAGCTGTCATGAGAGACACACAAAGGAAACAGTGTAACAAATCACTTTGAAACATAGTGGTTTAAAAAAAGATTAATTCAAACAATAATCATTGTATTATCTTTCGCACTTTTTGTGGGTCAGAAATTAGGATAAGGCACAATTGGCTTGGCTTTTCACTACCTCACGATGGCAGGGACCACTGCTTGGAAGACTTAGAAGTTGGGGAAACTCAATGAGGGGAAGCAGAAAGCATCCATATGTGTCTTTACTCCTAGGCACCTGATAGTTCATGCTAACTATTAGCTGGGACGTCAACTGGAGTCTCTGGCAGAATATGTACAAGATGGCCTTTCCATGTGGCGTGAGCTTCCTCACAGCATGGCGAACCTAGACTTCTTACTTGACAGCTTAGGGCTCCCTAAGAAAAGTTAGGTGGTAGCTGTAACCTCTTTTAGGGCCTTGGGAGTCACATAGCATCACTTCTGCTGTAATAATAAGCCTGTCCAGATTCAAAGCTAGTGAATATAGACCCCCGAGGTGATGAGAGAGCATCAAAGTCACATTGAAAGAAAGAATGTGATTGAAAGATATTGTTGGGGCCATCTCTGGGAAATGCAATGTGTCGCCGCAGTGGAGAAGATGAGTGATAATAATAAAAGTGAATCTATAAAACCAGTTATCTAAACCTTACTCTGAAAAGGAAGAAGTGTGGAAACAATGTCAGTGGGCACAGAATGATGAAACTATCATGGCTGTGAGGGCTTTCAGGTGCCAAGAACCCACATTTATATTGTTAAATAGAAAGGTACCCCAAAGCCAGAGCCTCTTGATTCCACCACCACTATGTCCTTCAGTTTTGACCTCTACCCTTAGCCCCACCAACCAACTGGCAGGCTTGTTTTGGGTTTTTAAATGATTTACCTCCAGCATTCACTACCTTTGTACATAGGGTAAATCATCATCAATCTAGACTTTGAATATATCCAATGTATTAAGCTACTACTTGGTGCTAGATACTATTCATAGAGGTGTTGAAGATACAGCAGTGAACAAAAAGACAAAGATCTCCAACTTTGTGAATTTACATTATAGGGATGGATGTGTGTGTGTGTGGGGGGGGCGAAATAGACAATATACAAAAAAAAAAAAACCAACAAAAACCCCATAATATATAGAAGATCTATAGCAAACATTAGAAACATTGTATTATACTTAATAACTTCATAATACAGAGACTTAATCTTTTGCAATTTGAAAAAAATCTAGTTCTCTGATTAGGTGTTACTTTAACTCGTTGAGTTATTGCATAATCAGAACTTATTAAATGGCAACTTTTGCAGAACATGTGGTGACAAATTATGACCAACACAGGGATGGACTCCACATAAAATTTTGAAGGGACACCAAAGGCTCCCAAACCCACCTCCCATGAGCCTATTTTACAGAACTGTAATGTGCAGAGTCCTCTAATGTTACAGAGTAAATCTGGACAATCTCAGTTTCATAACCTTGTGGATTTGAAAAGGAGAGGAGAAAACAATGACTGTTCTTGCCCCAGTCTGGGCATTCCATCCTCTATGAATTAAGACTCTTCTGAGAGCCCCACTTTGCATAGCAAGGGCATTGGTGCAGTTGTGATGAATGCATAATTGTGCTTTAAAATGAGAAACCGGTACTTGTAATTTCTCTAAATCCTAGAAAGACAAGGCTACTTAGAAACAGTGGAACTAGGCCCCAGAAGCTCCGATCTAGCCAACATATCCCATCAAGATATGTATCAGCACCGTCTCTCCAAGATGGGCTACCAGTATGTGATGTAAAATGTATCCTTTTTGATGTTTACTGGGTTTAGATTATTTTGCTAGTAAATGTAAATAATTAATGAAATCAAATGCAAATGTCATACAGGGAGAGGAACAGGTCTTCTGATACAGATCAACTGTGATTTTTTTCCCCCTTCAAAACTCGAGTCAACGTTTCCTACCATTAAAGTTTCAGCTTCCAGTTCCTTCATTTTGCTCTCCTCTGATCTGAGAACATTAGCAGCAGGAGCACCTTTACTCTTAAATTTAGTTTAATGTAAGTACTGCAAGCCCTGCTGGCAAGCCTCAAGGCACAAACTCCGAATGGGGGGTGATCAGAGCTGAATGATAAAGTAGAAAAAAAGCTATTAACTGCATATTGGGGAAACTATCCCTCAAGCAATCTACGCTGAAAAGTTTCAGGCCAGAGTTAGGGGGGCAGTTAAACAGGTTCCCTCCCCACCCAAAACCCCCTCATCTTGCCTTGCCTATGCTTTTTGAAAAAGGGGATTTTTGTTTTTCACAATACATGGGCACATAAGGGTATTTTGTTTTCCATAATAGATAATACGTGTACTGAAATTTTGCACACTTAATATTTGAAATACTAAATATTTAAAGGGATTCTGTAACAAATTATTTTCTCATTTAAGTAATCACTATCTTTTTTTTTTTTTTTATAAGTTCAGTCTTATTTATGCTGAATTAGAAAACAGTTGTAATCTAGCATACAGAAGCAGCCAGAGGGAAAATAAGTGAGAAAAAAAAATGCAAGCATGCTTTGGGGCCTGTTATTTCAGGCTTGCCTTCTACCTGCAGAGTGAAGAGAGCCTTTTGCCTTTGCTAAATTGAGTTGTGTCATTTCCCTGGTAGGGCCAGTATCCCAGCTCCTAGGTAATCCCTAATCACAAGGAATTAAGCTAACCGAGCCTGAAGCAGAAATGGAACATGGCACTTCACCAGGGTCCTCCTGGCTCAAGTCCACAGAGGATATCACACAAGCTGGGAAGGAAGGCAGGAAGGGCAAAGGGTTCAGATTCGAGTGAGTACGGGAGAGGAGAAGGAGAGGTATTTCTCTAGCTGGTACCAAAATGAGCTTCGCCCCAGGAGCTGAGGGGGAAGCAGTCTGTGAGGACGACCCAGAGGCAGCTCCCCCAGTGCCAGCAAGTGGGTAGCAATGCATGTGGCACCACGGGCGCTGAGACAAAGATCAAAAGGCTGCCTGAAGCCAATCCATCCTTGGTGGATTCTTTGATCTGCTGGTTGGCTCTTGTATCGGTCGTATTTAGTCTCTAAATCTGGCCCTCACATTCAAGGACAGATGAGAATGAAGAAACACGGGATGAAAGGTCTGAGAGTGTTAGTCAAGGCTGAATGTGGGCCTACAGTGTGAGTTTACATCTCTGGCCCCCAAGTAAAATTCTTCAAAGAGTAACCCTGCTGCCCACGCTCCCAGGAGAGGTCCTCATCAGGAAACACACAGGGAGGAGGGAGGCCTAGCGTTCAGTAGACAGTCTACTTCGGAGTGACGATGTCTGAGGCTGACTACTGTCCCCAGAATTCAGTCACTTTAGGGTAAAAATCAACAAACCTCAGCAAGAAAATCTATTAACTGTCATCAAGAGATTGCAAAATAAATAGGATTTTACTATGTTCAAAACCATTTATAAGACTGAGAACTTTTCATATTATCACCACAAGCTCTCTTGCTCGGAAAGTTTAAAGAAAACTACAGAAGAAATACAAATAATTATGCTCCCGGAAAGAATTTTTTAAATTAACATGAGTTTGAAAGAGTCACTAAATTTTATCCCCTACATCATAACTTTTGGACACTTCTAGCACTCCATGGGAGGTAATTAGATAAGTTTTTAAATACATAGATTTCCTACCAATGGACATTCATTGATGGCTAATCAAAATATACGTTAGTAAAAGTGTTTGAAGACAGACACAATTCACTCGACTTACAAAGCTGGTGTCTGTTGAAGATCTTTTCAGGCTTAGAGACCTCAGCCTGAAAATCAGGAGGTAAAGAATAATAGCAAAGGAGAGAAGGAAAAAAAAAATGAAAATTAGTTAGTAGAATAATTTCTCTTCCTGCCCCACATCATGAAATAAGTTAATCACACAACAAATAGCAAATACTAACTATATGTTTAGAGGCTTTAAAAAAATTATGGATACTTTGGGATAAATTAATCACTAATTAATGAAATGTCAAAACCTATATTGTTATGTTACAGGGTGGGGCAAAAGTGGGTTCAGATGTAAAACAATACAATAATTAATAAAGAATAAACTTCATGTTGAAGGTACAACTATGTTTGCCCCACCCTGCATTCCAATACAAATTAAGAATAACAGTTTGATCTCTCAAATCTATGAGAATGAGTTATCTTTACCCAAACCGAGGGCATCTCAGGTCCCTGTCTGCTCCCGCCTAGTTCTAAACAGGCCTAATGACGTATCCTCACAGGTTCAGGTGCACTGGGGAGCCAGAGCCTCAGCTGAGGAACTTTGAGAGGAGTCTCTAGACCTGGGAGAAAGGTCACTGGGGGGCAGGGAAGGCACTGCCCGCCTCTCCCTCCTCGGAACTGTGGAAGCCCTGCCCCGGCCTTGTCCCCGAGTCACGAACCTCGGTGATCTGACTCCGGGGAACTCTGGTTTTCCATTCCCCACAAGGGGGTCCCC